GGGGGGGTGGGGTGTGTTGTTTGGGGGGGGGGGGGTGTTCAAATATTTCTTTTCACACATTAACAAGTCTCCTTTTCCACAGATTAAGCTTGCAGACAAGCAAGCTGCTCTTGAAAAGATACAATGGGAAGCAATGACATCCAACAAGAAAGTAGATAAACTCCAAGATGAGCTAGATTCTATGCAAGCAGATATTTCATCATTTACGTTATTACTGGAAGGACTGACAAAAACTGACACTGCTAAATACACCGATGATTATGACATCAAGCCTTATGATTTCACTCAACTGCCTAGTATTGTGAGTTTATGAATATTTTTCAAATAAATATGCACAACATACTTTTCCACGTTACTATGATTTCACAACATAGTATTGTGTGTGTGTGGTGAGAGGTGACAATTTCAACACAACACTTGGATTTGGACTGCCTTCCTGGTTCAAGACACATGAATATCTTGTTTACCAATATGCATAGCTTTCAATTGTGCATGTATGAATGCAAATTCAGTGATTTAGTGTGTGTAGATTCTATCCATACATTCTGTGTCTTCTTTTCTCTTAGTAAAGGGTATTTGGTAAAGAACTGCATCATCAAATGGAAAATTATGAGACTATACTTTTCTGATTTAATGATATCTTTGTTTTTAAGAACATAATTGTGTTAGAATGCAGAAATATCTAATCCTTGGATGTTGACCTTTTGAAGTAAATATCTGGTTGAACAGGATGATTTGGATGAGATAGAATTGCAGAAAATGGAAGAAGCAAGAAAAGCTTATATGGCTGCTGTTAATATCACGAAAGAAAAACGAGACGAGGAATCTATTGCTGCTGCTGCCAATGCTAGGTTACATCTTCAGTCACTTGTTTTCAAATCCAAAAATTTTAACCTGTGATGTCGCTAGTTTTATTTAATGTGCCTACACGTTAGGTCCCTTTAATCAAAATGGTAAAGCACTTATCTTGTGTGTGAGAGAGATTGATTTGTTTACAACACTGTTAATGAACAAATATAAAGTTATGCCATTGTAAGTGATGAAGTACTAAACCAACATGTTCAATGAAGTGAAAATGTGTTATCGCCGGTCTAACTGCCTTCAGAATTTTACCAGACCTGTGCATCGTTTTTTTCAAAAGTAGAAGAGTTAATCATGACCTGATGAGTTTTAGTTTCTCTTTGAAGTGGCATTCAGTAAGTTTTCTTCTAGCAGCTGATTCTGATTGGCAGTGGTTATATACTAAAATTGATTTGTGGACCGCTTATTTTTTTTACACCAGCAAACGGTTGCTGTTTTAGCTGACAATTCCAAAGTGTTTATGTGTATGTATGTATATTCTACTTGTACCCAAGTCGTCTTCTGATTTCCTACTTCATATGTAGTCTATATATTATATATTATACCCACTAGGTGGATATTGTGCCATTTATAATCTATGTTGTTTTATAATGCGGCCAGGGTATATTTGTGCTTGTATAAATTCTACCGAAAAGTTGAATTTAAAAACCTATTCTTTATTTGATAATATTATTTTGCATGAATGAAAGAAATTAAATGCAACCTGATCTAGGGCGATAACTTATAAGTTACCATTACACTGTTTATTTTTCTTTCGGTAGGCCCATTTGACGTTTATCTATTGACTCTTGTATTTATCTCTTGTTTGTTCGAGGGAAAATAGAGTAAAGGGAAATAAAGAATAGGCAGATAGGATAGAAGTGTTAAGGGCAATATTTGGTACACAATAAGTATTTTTCATTCTTGAGAATCATATGATTTTTGAGAATCATGATAAATAGAAATGATTAAAATGTGTTTGGTTAGTTATGAATGTTATTTACTCTCCCTCTCAACCTAATTTCTCCGTCTTTCTTAATAGCCTTCCCAAAAGGTTATGGATGTATCAAAATAATTTTTTAAATTGTCATTTACCGACTTTTATGATTTTATTGTCATTTTTTTAATTCTTTATTTTATATCACCTACCTTAATGTTGGAGTTGAAATTCAAAAGTCCTCTTACATTTAAGTTGTGCACTTGCATAACATGTATATATATTGTAATACTCTTGTGTAATGTAGTAATACAATCTTAAAAGGTTATTAAAGTTTTTAAGCTTGATCTCTCGATTCTAATAATGTGCTTGGTTATATCATATGTTGGTCATGATTGGCATATGTCAAATTGAACTATATTAATAAATACTGGCTTCTGCATCATTTTTATGAATTGGACGTGCAAATTTAGTGAAGCCTATGTTTATAAGCTTAAACCAAACATACACTAACACCTATATATATATATATATATATATATATATATATATATATATATATTATGACATCATAGACGTTTATTTTAACTTTGTTCATCTACATATGAAACAACTCTATTGACAACTGTTATCATGCAAAATACAATTTTACTCTTGTTACCAATGACTTGGTTAGCTCAAATTATATTAACGGTTGTCCTTCTCCCAAAATTGGTAAATACGCTTATGTTGGTATTCATTCTACCTTTTACTCTTGTTGGTATTCATTCTACCTTTTCACTCAATTTTGAAATGGATTGGGACAAAAGGAAAGAGAAATAGAAAAAAAAAAATGATAAATATGACCCGAGATATGATGAAAATATATAAATAAATGAAATCAAAATGAAACTAATTACTATTTTATTATCTCTAGTTTTTGAAAGACAATGATAATGTCCTTTGCTAGGATAGACTTGACCAAGTTTTGCAAAATTTAAGTTGGTAATGTCTCAGCTTCCATTTAATTGCTTGAGGATAAATAACAATATACTAATATTTTTCTTTAACTGTCATTTGTTTGCTTTAGTAACCATTTAATCGGTTCTTTATATTTTTACTAGTAAATTCAAAAGTCCCCCACTCGAAAGATACCTTTTATATATATAAAAATCGTATTAGATTTTTTAATTCTGGAAATGAATATAAATCAGGCAACCTTTACGGTTTATTTTTTATTCCAAAATCCTCTTGTTTGTATGGACAACGGCAGTGATTGAACTTGAGTCCTGCAAGTGAAAAGCAGAAATAAAAAAAAAAAATTAACTCAAAATGAAATTCTGCTATGTTTTTTTTCCAGTTCATGTTGAATAAGTCCTCCTTTCCAACTTGGTGTGTTTATTTTAAGTTTCTTTTAATAAAATCTTTGACTTGGTAAACTTTTGAATATTATTATTCTTATTACGAGGGTGGAGTCACTTACATTTTTCTTATCGGAGTATACAAACTGCGCCGTGTTTTATTGTGTATCTTTACATTTTAAAGTTGGAGAAATTATAAAAAGTAATTGGTACAAAGCGCACAACTCGTATCTACAGGAATACAGGATTAAATGTCTGAACCTTTTGGTATATTATGAACTTGAAAATAAATTATCTGACAAAGAAATAAAAATTTCTCAAATAAACCAAGTGGTAGAATGTAAGTAGTGAACTTGAAGCAAACTAAGGATGAAATGGGAAGAAATTATGAATAAAATTCATCAATATTGATATACTATGCACTCAAGAGTGGCATTTGCTAGCTGACTACTATCTGGACAAAATAATTCATTCTTGTAGAGTACAAAAAATAAAAGAATATGCAGCCATCAGAATCTACAACACTGAAACCTCCCAGTTCGGGCCTTGTGCTTCTTCAGGTGCAAACCTTCTGACTTAGGCATTTGTACGGGGCTTCCAATCCATTCCCAACCTAATCTGTGTTTCGAAAACAAAACCACAAAGTCCTTGACAACATTAGACAAGTGCTAACCTTCCACGTAGCACCATTAATATTAGACAAAAAATAATAACATTTTCTAAGACACTAGCTAATGTTGAAATTTTAACAAAAAATGAAAACTTATATATGATTAACTCACACGGGGAACGCAAAAGAACGTCTACTGCCTTCAGATTGGTCAGAGTTCCTTGATTCTGCATACCCTTCAATTCCCTCAACGTTGCATGTCCTTCTTATGCTGTCCCTATCTTGTTGTGTACCCCTTTGTAACGTCACTCTTTCATACCCTTCAATTCCCTCAACGTTGCATGTCCTTCTTATGCTGTCCCTATCTTGTTGTGTACCCCTTTGTAACGTCTCTCTTTCCTCTTCATGCGAGGAAAATTCAGGGTTGTGGCACTGTACCTCTTTATAGGAAGGGGTTACCGTTACACAATCTTCATCATTATGATGCTGATTAGCATTTGATCTTTTCTCATGAATGTTCAGCTCACTAACCTGTCTTTCATCCTCAACATATTTCAGCTGCTCAAGTCACACAAAGCCGCAAACTATTATTCAATTTATATAACAAAGTTCATCTGAAAGACCGGTCTAAGAGTAAGACAACTAAAGTTCAAGTTCTAGGCTTATCAACAAACAAAAAAAAGTACTTTGTTGTGGTCCTGAGGTTACCGCACACATATGGTCATGTTGATAAGATATTGTCCGCTTTGAGTTCAGTCCTTATAGTTTTGTTTTTGAATACCACCCAAAAGACCTCTATACTAAAGAAGACAATCAGGTGTATATAAACCTATGTTCATCATATTATTCTAATGATACGAGACTTTGTTTACATCCCAATATATTTGTTATTAATTTTTATTAAGCAAAAAAGTCATATGTATTGATAAAAAGGCTCGACATATAACTGATTTAAAGTATAATAGTTTCTTTCAGATGGCAGTGAATGCATACCTTACGATTCACTGGTCTTGGATTTTTATGCATGCTATTGAGACCTTTGATGAGAGACTCAGGCTTGACACCTCGTGCTACATCCTTTCCAAAGCAAAACTCTATGTAATCTTCATCCGCAGAGAGTGACCAAGTTGAATGATCAAACTTGTTTCTGATGGAAACCCCATTATCTTTATCCTTAATTATTGGATTGTTTAGCGGCCTCTTGCCGTGGCATCTTTTGCTTGGCTGTGACAAATTGTTGTTATATATACTATTAAAGTTTTTCTTGTCAAATGCCATGTTTTTCACTGTCACGTGAGGGGATGAAGTCAGTTCATGATCATCTGCAAAGAGTTCAGAAATCATGTGAGTATGGCATGGGATTGATCAATGAGTAACTTTTTTATGCTATTTAAAGCTACCAAAAAAGATTAATGAAGGAAAAAAATGAAAACAAAATAGGTTTCTCATTTTACCTAAGGGCAACCAGCAAGCAGAGAAACATGATCTGACTTGCCATGTCAGTGTGCTCATAGTTGTAGAGAAAGGCAATATGACTCACTGACACAGTTATGGCCAAAAGGAGTTACAATATTCAATCCTCCATGAGTAATGGCTCAGTTATGTTTTTATACACTTGGAAAGGCTGAGAAGATTGTCACAAAAACCAACTGTGATACTCCTTTTCATTTGCCAATTCAAAATCACCATAAATAAAAAGCTAATTAAGGGTTATTACGCGACATTTTTTAATTGCTACAATAAATTAACATAAATTACGGGTATACGCCTCATAATTTAGGCCTTAAATTCCTGATCAATTGTTTCATTCTTCTGACCGCTGCATTTCTTTTTGACATGTGAGAAAATCCTGTTCTTCATGTTCATCTATCTCTTCTCCGAATGTTTTGTCCATTACTCTTTTATATATAATTATTTTCTGGACATCAAAAACAAAAGAATTTACATGATTAGATGAGCAATTAAAATTACAAAAAAGCCTTAAAAATAGTATCAAACTTTTTTTGTTCATTTGTATCTATCTACCTCTCCTCCCTCCAAATTGTCTTGTCTATTACTCTTTTATATTCATTTATTTCTTAGACATTGAAACAAAAGAATATATGGTTAGATGCACAATCAAAATTACAAGAAAGCTCAAGTGCATGTTTGTTTCAGTGTATTCATGTCGTTCCTTAGTTTCACGTAAAAAAAAAGAAAAAGACGCAAAAATAAGTATTAGTTTCCTTCTAAACCCTACCTCCATTCCTTCTAATATTTTTCGCCTTTCTCCATGTCTGCCCATACCCCTCCATTCCTTCATACACACCATTTAAGACTTTACTTTTCCTATATTATCAATACAAATATTTTTACATTATTAATTAATTAAAATCATTCTTAATATAATCTTTAAAATAATTAAAAATGGATAGTATTCTTATATAAAGAGTCGGAGGAAATAATATATAAGTCAACAAATTTATTAGACATATAATTTATCATTAGATGATAACATAATAAAATTTGTATACTGTTAGTATATTTCAATTAAAATTTTATTTTATGCTCTAACAAGATTACATTTACATGCATCTCATTTTTAAATATAAGTTACAGATATAATATAATAATACCTTTAAAATTAATTTAAAGTAGTATAGTATAGTAAAAGTTAAGGTAGGATAGGATAGGAACGTTAGTGAGGGTAGTTGAGGAAGCGTGAGAAAAAGCGAAGAGAGAGAGGGAAGCAGTTACAACTTACAAAGAAAGAGATGGGGTGGGCCATAGCCCTACACGGCGGCGCCGGCGACATCCCGCTTTCACTACCACCGGAGCGCCGCCAGCCGCGCGAGGAAGCCCTCCGCCACTGCCTCCGAATCGGCGTTGAAGCTCTCAAAGCCAAACTCCCTCCTCTCGACGTGGCAGAGCTCGTCGTAAGTATTACTATTGTTTGCGATCACAACATCTGCTATTGCTATGTGTATGTATGTATGTATGCATGATGATGATGATGATTGATGTCATGATGCGGATGGTGTTTTGTTTTGTTTGAATGAGTGTGCGTTAGGTTCGCGAGTTGGAGAACATTCCGCAGTTCAACGCGGGGAGAGGATCTGTGCTCACTTCCGAAGGCACCGTGGAAATGGAAGCTTCCGTCATGGACGGCGCCACCATGAACTGCGGCGCTGTTTCCGGCCTCACAACGGTTGTCAACGCCGTCTCTCTGGCTCGATTGGTGATGGAAAAGACGCCTCACATCTATCTCGCTTTTCAAGGAGCAGAGGAATTTGCCAGACAACAAGTCACTCGCTTCCTCCCTTTCTTTTCAACTTTCTTCTTACTATCAACATCAACATTCACTGATTATTCATGCTTCTTTCGCAGGGCGTTGAGACTGTCGATGCAACCCATTTTATTACTGCGGAAAATATTCAAAGGCTAAAGCAGGCAAAAGAAGCCAATAGGGTCCAGGTACTTTATTTTCCCCACTTATCTGCCCCTGGAACTTGGATAACTATCTTTTAATCACGATTGAATTTTTACTTCACTAATCTTTGCTTAGTTTCAATGAAAATCTTTATTGCATAGATTACTCTGACTTCTAATTTTAATCTTGATTGCATAACCACTAGCACGTAAATCAAATGGCATGAGATTGTTCTTGCTTAACTAGTGATCTCGAGTTTGAATCTTGAGTATGCAGTTACATTGAATACTCGGAGGAAGAGTTTTTACCTGGTAGAACAACATTGTCTCCCACAAAAGATTCTTATGGTTTATACCAAAAAGTAAATCTTCATTACACGGAGTATCATGATATAAAACAACACTAAAAATAACTAAAGAAGTAGTACATCTAAGTATATTTGTTTAACGAAAATGCTAACGAGTTAAAAAATCAAAAGTAGAAGATTTTATTGAAAAATGTATTTCCGCATTCTTTCATACAACTTTATTGTAAGTTTTAATGCAAAACTTCTTACGTATTGATTCCTTAACTAGTGCTCTTACGTATTAAGGACAAAACTTATATGCAATTTTTTTTATATGCTTTTACTACTATACTAAATTGATTTTATATGATTTGTTTAGTCAGAATTGAAGTTTATTTTAGTTATTTATGTAAGTTTGCAAAGATTACTAAATTGAAATTCTAATTCTAATTGAAAACAATACGAAAAGTATGTAAAATGTTTTTTTGGTACATTAATTGGTTGGATTTTTTTCTTCTTGTTCTTCTTATGATGCTTTTGTTCTTAATTCACAAACATGTAGATTGACTATACCCAACCTATTCAAAATGATTCAAAGAAAGAAACGCCATTAGCTAGTGGTGATAGTCAAATTGGGACGGTTGGGTGTGTGGCTGTTGATGGTGATGGGAATTTAGCTTCTGCAACATCTACTGGTGGATTAGTGAACAAAATGGTGGGTCGAATTGGTGATACACCAGTAATTGGTGCTGGGACCTATGCCGATGCGCGTTGTGCAGTTTCAGCAACTGGCAAAGGTGAAGCAATAATACGTGGGACAGTGGCAAGGGATGTAGCCGCTCTGATGGAGTTCAAGGGTCTTTCTCTTGAGGAAGCTGCTAATTGTGTTGTACATGAGCGCACACCAAAAGGTACTGTTGGTTTGGTTGCTGTGTCTTCCAAAGGAGAAGTTGCGATGCCTTTTAATACAACAGGCATGTTCCGAGCATGTGCTACTGAAGATGGGTATTCTGAGATTGCAATTTGGCCTGCTGCCAAAATTGAGTGATCTTTAGGCTTTTATGATTACCAAGCTTAATGTATTCTGACATTATGGTTATGTCACAGGCAAATTCATATTCTTTTCAAGGTATAGATTTTTGTTTGGTTCGTGATCATAATCCTCCTACGTACCACGTTATCCATGAAACTCTGAGCTTTTTATATAGTTTGTGCTGCATTGTGAATGTGATCATATTCTGCTTATGATCAGGGGTTCTATGACTTCATCTTCCTATGCTCTTGTAAGTGTTCCATAATGGCTGAAGGGAAAACAACCTCCCATTTCATTGAAAATTACTATACCCTATGCTCTTGACCTCTGATAGACTATAGCTGTTAATTAGGGTGTAACTTTTTTTAGTGAACCAGATCAAATATCAAATTTTAATCTCACGATAGATTCTTTCCACGTGGACTTTGTCAACGTTAACTAACACTTCCTTTTTGTTGGAGTGGAGGAGAACTGTGCATTTTTCAGGCAAGGTTAAAAACTACAAGAATTAATTTATCACAATTTAGGTGATTAAGCTCCTTGTACAATCATGAAGCAAAAATTGTCTGGTTCTGGTGTGATACTTTGGAGTCACCATATAGCTTTTATTTGTTTGTTTGTTACACACTGTCCTGACAGTAACAGAATTACAGTACTTTAGATTTTGTTTAGTTCCCTCTAATATTTATAGGTGACATGTGCTTCCTTTTGTTTTCCTTCTTATTTTTTGTGTATTGGGGGAAAGGGGGTGACGGCATTCATTCTATGTATGTAACTTAAAAATTCATTGCGTGTCGGTGTCATTTGTGATAAATTTAGGCTACTCTTGATGATTTGAAGTTTAGCAGTAAGTGCTAATTTCAGTTCCAAAACTGAAGTTACTGAAAGTTTTGTTATTGTGATAAAATGTTAGCTTTGGTTGGTTAAGATAAAGGTAAAAAAACTTATCTGCCATGGTTTATTTCTCCAACCACTGGTTAATTTCGGAATGATGAGATAGAATCAGATTAATTTGAATGTACCACTTATTGATAGGGAAACTTGTAAAAAGGAACCTTTGTCTAAAATTCTTTGCCACGCAAAATTCTAATGATGCGTGACAAAACTACTACCTTCCACATTCACCAAAAAAATAAAGAACTACTACCTTCCGTGGAAGAGATTGCCCTATTTGAGAAAAAGAACAATGTACAATGCGCTACCTTAAACTGAAGGAACTCTGATATTTTATCTGATTAATTATGTACCACAGTAACTAAGAACAAAAATTGCCACTAAAGGGGCATTTGGAGTTAGGTTAAAGGATAAAAGAATAGGGTGAAGTTAAGGGTACACATTCAACTTAATCTCATAAAAAGAAAGGGAAATATGAAATAAAACATATGTTCTTTTTGTGGAAAAAGTTATCGGAATACAAGTATGAATATATGAGGAAAAAGATTATTCGTACAAAGAAATTATTTACGAAAATTGCGTGAACTGATTTGTCAAGATTTTTAAAAAATAAAAATTCCACTTTCTCGCACAGTCTGCAAGAATATAATTGGTCAAATAACCACATCCTACCAAATAGCGCTACTGATTGTTTATATAGATGTGCTGTTCATCACATTTTATATTATTATCACAAGATTTTCCTTTTACTGTTAATTTGGTGCACAATATGATAAATTTGGTGTGACATTTATAGAGTTTAGTGAAAATGAAAATACATGTTGCAATGATAGCCTTTAAAACAGAATTCTGATTTTTCCACACTTAGGTCGCATCTCTAGGCATTTCATTTTGCAGTAGGCGTACCCCACCCTGAACAAATTTTGAGTTTTAGAGGATGTATTGGTTTAGGATTTAGGGTTTAGGATTTTATAAAATTTTAAAAGATTTTTTTTAAGTGAAAAAGTTTGTTGATATTTAATCAGGATTTTGTCAACACCAAGAAAAAAAATCAGGATTTTGTCATTTAAAAATAATCTAATAATATTTAACATAGATTTTTAAATTTTTTTAAAGAGTTTATTAAAATTTATTAGTATTCATTTGAGTCTTTTTATAACTTAAAAATAATTTATTGGTATTAAAAAATATAAAGATTTTAAAAGATTGTTGTATTAGAGAAAAATTGAATGACTTTTTAGTAGTAGTATCTATAAATACCAAATTTATAAAACAATTCTCATCTAAGACTAAACCTATCAGATTTTGGTAAATTGTTTGAAGTGACTTTTCTAAGTGAGTTTTTCATTTTTTTATACTCATATCTTCTCCATTTTTTTCTTTGCTAATAATATTGCATTACTGCTCATATATAATATTGTACTACTGTTCCCATTATATTTCTCTATTTGGTGAAATTCCAATACATAAATGACAGTGCTAATTAACTTGCTCTATTTAGTTGAGTTTGTTCCTCAAATATATAACACAAAAAATGCTTGAAATTTTAATTTTTAAATAGTAATTTTTTTATAACATGCATAATTTTTAATATTATATATCTTTTTTAATATTAATTTTACACATTATTTTTCTAATTAAAAAAGACTCAATTTTGTTAAATTATATTCATTTCATTTTTATGTTAATATATAAAATTTTAATTATCTAACCTTTCAGTCTATCATATTTTAATTATAATTTTTTAATTTAATTTTGATAATCTATTTTTGAAAAATTATTAATATTTAAAATAATTTTATATCAATATTTATTGATTATAAATTCAAATTTTAGTTCATATATTTAAATATGTCCATCTATTATGAATTTTAATTATAGTATAATTTAAAGATTAAAAATATTTGTTAAAGTTTAATTATATAAAAAAAATTATCATATATAATATATACCTAAAATACTAATTTATATATAT